AGTAGTAGTGACACATCTATTTCTAGTTCTTCATCACCAATTAACAAAGAAAAGTCATTGTGTGAATTAAATGGTAATTTTATTTGGTTTCAAGTCTTTCTTGAAGTGATACTACGAATGTCACACGAGCTCACTACCTGCAGAATCAGAAGATCTTTAGTGTCTATCTTCGTAACTAAGAATAAGGATCGCATTTGAACGAAGAACCGCAGGTTGTTAACGCTTAATAGTAATAGATTAGGATCTCACCCTTTTAATAAAGAAACTGTCGCAAGAGGGAAAGAGATTGACGAATGATTTTTGGATTTATTCTGTCCTTTTCAGTTAAACCTGTGCCTCTGATTAACTGGTTACCGAACAAAAAATATACGCCACTCTGGTGGTATACTAGAGAAAGTTTTGTTTACAAAATGTTAAATAAAGCTCTAAGATCTCGAGATATTGATACATTAATTCTGTTTCAATTTATTATTACTGATTTGTATGAACAATTGAAAGATTTACATTACAACCATAGAATAAGCACAAGTGCACCAATTCTTTGTGTTTATCGTGGTCAACTACTATCAAAAGTTGAACTGAATGACATGAAATCAAGTATTGGACGATATGTATCATTCTTCAGTTTCCTTTCAACGACGAAGGTTCGTGAAGTAGCACTTTCATTTATTACGATTGCTGCGGATGCTAGTAAAAATATGCCTGCTGCTAAAAATGATTTACAACGAGTTTTATATGAAATCAATATTGATCTAACAAGTGTAACTTCAAAACCTTATGCTGATATTAAACCGCACAGTTATTTTCAAACAGAATCTGAAGTTCTATTTACACTAGGTTCGATCTTCAAAGTTGAAGGTATTACAAGGACGAAAGATGGCATTTATGTGATAAAACTCGTACTGGCAAGTGAAAGTAAATCAAAATCGAAAGAATTATTACACTATATAAAAAGTAATTTAGAGGAAAAACCAGATATCATCTCGCTAGGTCATGTACTGAAAGAAATGGGTGCATATGATAAAGCTGAGCAATGTTTTGAACGACAACTATGTGAACTAAAAGATCATAGTTCATTTGAAGCTGCGCGCTGTTACATAGGTAAGAACTTGAGATGAAAAGTGTCATGAGCGCATATCGGTATTTTACTCTTTTTGCTGTCATTTAGGACTTGGAAATTTGGCCTATGTACAGGGTGATAACGATTTAGCCTTTGACTATTCCCAAGAAGCATTGAAAATAAATGAGTCATTGTTCTTCGATGATGAAAATTTATCTGTTTGTTACAATAATATGGCTAATGCATATTCGTCGTCTAAAGATGATTATCAAAAAGCCTTAAAATATCATAATAAATCATTAGCATTAAAAACAAAAACAAATGGTGGTGATAGTCTGGAAGTTGCTAGATCCTTCTTTAATATTGGTTTAACAAATTATCATCAAGGAAAATATGAAATTGCACTTAAGAAATTTAATCGATCATTAA